GGTAAGGGGTGAATGACAAACACCTTTGAACTTGTGGCAAACCTGTCTAGACACGTTTCGATTCACACTGAGGTGACAGCTGCCACAAACCGACTTAATCTCTCGGATCACCGGGGTGTGTCTATAACACAGTGCCTTAAAAGCAAATAAAATCATGTTTGCTAGAATCCTATCCAATTTACCAAGACATTGGGGGCAGCCTAAACCGGGTCTCCGAAAGCAAGTTACTCCAAATCAGCAAGAACAAAATAAACGACTCATTTACAAGCGACAGAAAATGGAACACTGATCGGATTTTGAGATTTACCTGTGCTTGGAACTTGGAAAATTACTTTGGGAAATTTGAGTTAGGAAATTAACTCAGGACACAGGAAAGAAGAATGGTCTCACAACACTATGTTTAAGTGCCGATACCAATAAGCGGTGCACAAATTATCAAAAGTGCCACGTTTTCAGTTTCAATGGCATCTAGGCAAGCACAGGACAACATGTGGCAGATGTGGAATGAGAATTTAGCCAATCACGGTGATTGGCGTCCACCAACCCAGTCGCCGCAACCTCAGACACTCCACCCCCCTCTCCATTCAGCGTCTGCAGCGTTTGAGCGGACGAGTTTTATCATGCGCTCACCTCCACACACTACACCACTGCCTCCACATCGTGTAATTTACATGCCAGCGCATTCGTTAGTCCACCCGAGCCTTGGCTCACCCGGCACCGTCTACGAGCCAATTCCGAGGAGACCGATGCCACGTGATGCAGGCAAATAATTAAGGGTCCTGGAATGGGGTTTCATAGGCCAGACTTCACACACCTTCCAAACCTTTTAGGACAAACATCTACAACCTTCTATCTTAAAACACACTCTCACTGAAAAAAAGAATAGGTTTTGCACTTCTGACGTACATCGCGCTGAACGAATAAGATCCTATACAAAAATCACTTTTAGAAATATCTATTTTTGATCCGAGAGAATTGGATTTAACCAAATTTTGTGTCACCTTTCCTAAAATCTTAAAGTCAAGAAGAGGTTTAAGAAATACCGCTGACCCTGAATTGACCTACAAGTTTAAACCGCATGCATTTTGGGCTGGAATTCTATGGCCTTGAGTGCCACCAAATAAGTGGTACCGATTCATGGTACAATTAGAAATCGATTTTTGCTGATAAATATTCCGATCAAAGACCACGTATAAACAGCAAAGTAAATTCATTAGAGGTGATTTACACAAGAAACTTACAAAGTGGACAATTTCTCATCAATATCCCTTGATGAAAATTCATCATAACGAGCACCAACGGGCCGTCGAAGATTCCCTGTGACCCCAGCTACTGCAGTAGTGTTTGCTGTGGTCGGGATGAGGGCGGCCCCACTAGACTCAACAACACGATACTCAGCGGTCTCCTGGTAGTCTATTCGCCGCCGCACTAGTTGGGCGTTGGGGAGGGAGTTCACGCCGGCCATGACGTATGCTGGAAGGTCACGAGGAAAGTGAAATGGTACTGCTCTCACAAAATGCAAGCACTAAACAACGTGTCGAATATACGTGTGCTAACCATTAAAACATCAAGTAAACGCAAGCGTACAAATGGTTAAAATCAATACTTTAAGTATTCAGTGAACACATGCAAAATGTAGTACGCTAAATACACGGCAGGAGGAACAGCTGACAAAACTGCTGCACAAGCTGAGATGTATCAGAATAGAAAGGGTATCCTAGTTGGCATTAAGAGGGTTAAAACGTGAGTAAAATCCTGCAAATTCGAGTTCCCACAATACAAACTTTATCAGCAACCTGTTTACCGACACCCACAATTTCGTTTCACTGCTGAGGAGAAACACAGCAAAGTGGGATTGACCTTGAAAGGACCGAACATCCACAAACAGAAACCAACTTCAAACATGTCGCATCAAGTCAGGTATCAGACTAACAACAGGCAACACTTAGGTGGCAGACAAAATAACACCAGGAATCTAACACACAATGAGTCAAAGTAGCTGGCATTAACAAATGTATTTGGTACCTCATCAAAATCGACGAAAATGAGTAGAAGTTACAGAGGACGAAAGCAAAGTCACAATTCTTTTATGCATTAGTTTTGGTTCAAGTACTGCAACCCTCAAACGGCATAGATAGAAAGTTTGGTCCGGCAAGTCGTGTCACCTTGAACGACCGGCTACTGGAAATAGACCTTCATTACGCGCTTGTGTGAGACCGATTCAATGCGAGGAACCCATCTGCTGATCACACATCTCTCGACGACAAGGTGTTAAATAAGATGGTCACTGCGACTTCATCACTCATAAGAACAATGACCTATAGGCACGTAAATCAATGTAAGCAATTCGAACTACACTTGGGTCGTTTTGACAAAACTTTTCCCCAAAGCATTATTTCAGGCAGCACGTTTCTATGACCTTCCTCAGAAAACGTTTACAAGTTGTCCATTTCCCGAGATCTGCTCCAAAGACCACCGCTGTTAAATCTGATTGACATTTATATCTCTTTTTATCAATAAAATCCAATTCACCCGAAGCAAAACGCCTATTGGCTTTCCAACATTGCCGAGTCTAAGCCAAAGAAACGTTCATTACAAACAATATTGCCTCTAGGAAATACCAATTCGCCAAAATCTGGAATTCATAGCAAAGTGGAGAGGATTCAAGAGTGACCAGAAAAGTCGTATTCAGAATTAGTACGACAGTATTTCAAAACATATTCAACAAAGTATGATGTAGACAGCCCTTAATACCCAAAATCGTCTCCTTACCTTAAATTTGGCCAAAAAAGTAAATCTGGGCACAAGTAATTAAAAAGGTGGAACCGAACTTTTAAAAAGTAGAAGAGATGTGGCAGTGTGAGTGCACATGCCGGACAAAAGAAAGGTATAGAAAATACAGGATTACTCGAATGCAACGGTTGAATGTTATAAAAGCATAACCAACAATAAAACCAGGAAAAAATGCTTTGAACACGTTACTCAATAACCCTTTAGGACTAATGTGCCTTTGGGCAAGAATGTGCCGATTATCTTACTAACATGCAAATTTAGCAAACCTGTGAGTTTAAGGGCCTGCGTGGCCTTCAATTATGGTGAATCAGGAATGCTGAAATTATGACTGGGCATGTGGTTAAGTGCAACCAGTCTCTGAAACGACCGTTGTCCAGAGATGCCACCTGCGTGTGCATTTTAAGACCACACCATTGTCCATAAAACGTATAGGTGGCAACTGACCTTGTCATGATTTAAATAAACAGAAAAATCCATTTTTTTTCCGAATGCAAATAGTCCGAAAGGCCCTACACCTAGATGTCACCTGCTTTTAATAGTCGGGCAACGCAAGATATTTCACACCCGATCTTATTAACTAATGCCTCCCGGAAAACCATATGGCGGTCAAGGAAGACAGAGGACTTTTCTCGGATAACACAAGTGGGTCGCGTTTTGATTTGCAGCAACTCGGTGGAATTATTTCAGTGGCCATAATGCAAGCAGGCTAATAAATGATTTTAACTGATTTCCATTTCTCAAGCATAAAAAATACTTATCTAGAATGCCAATGATTTACAATTCTTTTAAATTGGCGAACTGTTTAGTACGGTGAGGAGGCAAGATGCAATTGCACAATGCGCATAATTTTCAGCCCATCGAGTAGTCGGGTTTAAGCACAAAACCATTACTAAAGTTCGTAACTTTAACGCAAACCAACCCAAACAATGAAAAAATGACGGGCAATAGTATCACTGAGTTCGTTGGAGCAACCTGCAAAACAGAATGGCGACAGTGACGAGATATTTGAAAGCAATAAGACACATTGTATTAGGACACGGTTTGTGTCAATAAGCCAGTACGCACTGTTACGTTAGTGCTTTGACCACAATTAGTATCCCAATTGACTTACACGGGCGATTTTTCGGCATGGCCAGAATGTGTGGAGATTCGTGTGGAACACTGAGTGTTGAGATTTGATGCGATCTAAAAAAAGGGAGACGAATACATACTTCGGTCTCTCTACACATGGTGTCTATGGATAATTTGCCCTAAACGGCAATCACTGGAAGTAACAATGAAGAAGACAACTAGCATAAGGCCAAACAAGTAAACCTCGAGCAATGGGCTGCATACCCGAGACCTCTTGTTGGACAGGCCATGTTTATGGTACTCCATTAATACAAAAAACCCAATGTGCACTCGCCTTTCGACCAAAAGCAGTAGTGTTCTAAGATGTCACTGCGTTCACCGGGGACCGATTACATGTCTATGCTACATATAATTATGGTCGTAAAAAACACCTGCAAAATTTAACCTACCAAGTGTCGCACTTTCGAGTTTTGGTAACAATTAAAGTTGAAGGATTTAATGGTAGCAATATACAGCTTTAAAAACACATGAACTAGACGTATGCAGTTTAGATATGACCCCTTCGAAAATTTGTATTTGGCAGACGAACCAGAGCCTATTCAATTCTACGGCTTTCAACGGAGGCACCCGGTATTCCGTCAATCGTCACATCCAAAAAGAAGACGGCAGGTCATGCACAGTGTCACCACGAACGAAATTCAATTTCCACAACACAGATGCCGCTTGTAGTCATGTCTGTTTTCACATCGTGGGGGATTTGGTTCTGTCAAATTGCCACCAAACAACAAAACCCTTCATGTAAACGTAGATGTACAACTCTTACAGTGAGTTAAGGTAACTCTTAACGAAATTTTATTGGTGCCTTTATACAGAACGACCACTTGGGGAAAATACAAGGCAGTCAATGCTTTAAAAATGAATTTTGTAAAAAAAACATGTACTAACTTTTGAGACGGTGTCGGGAAGTCAAAGTACTCCTCTCGTGAAAAATTAAATACCGGCTTCAATGTGTGTCCAGAACTTGTACGCTGTTCGAATACAGACGTTGTCCTTTTGGTCATCTCTACGGTAAAAAAAGTCATTACAGAAAATCAAAAACGCTTAGGTCCAAAAAATTCGATTTTTCGTATAAATCTTTATTTTTGAATAATTGTGCAAATCTTTGTAAATGCAAAGGGAATAGAGGACCTTTCTTTCTTCAAAGTTAGTCTCTCAAGTAGGGTGGTGTGTGTTGTTGGATGATATTCTCGTAAAGTTTCCAGCGACTTCTCTAGGGGTGCGGATGCGTCGGTTAGGCAAGCGACACCAAAATCGACCACGACGTTCGTTACACAGAACGTCTCATCAAGACTCGGCTGCCGATCCCTTGCGATTTGTGCTAGCTGTTGTTTGGGCAGGGTGACGACTCCCGACCACTCCGTCAGAAGCAAGAACGCGGCACAGTTCAGTAGATACTCGGATATTGACCCTTCGCGTAAGACCGCCTTCCACTGAATTAAGAATTGCTTGCGCTCATCTTCAATGGTCATATTTGTTGCGTAAATGACACAGTAGTACGCGAGCTTAAAGTCAATTAGCTCATCATCCGGCAGGATAAAGGAGCTGGTCCATAGTGAAACAATGTGGTCGAGTGGTGGATCGGAGGAGGAGACAGCGGAGCGGACCGAGTCAGCAGCTCGATCGAATTGTCCGGCGGCGAGAAAAGCAAGGGCTGAATTCGGCAACCCAGTGTGTGACAGGCGTTCAGCTAGAAGATGAAGACAATCAAGTAGGAGAGTTGGATTCGCTGAGGGACTGAGACGCAAACGGAAGAGGAGGAGAGCCTCCTTGGCCCGGCCACGACTCAGGAGAAGACGGACTGCGTAAGCTGTCCGGCCGGCAGAAACTAAGAGTGTTGCGGCTCTGTTATACTCGTTGCAAACGTCACGTAACTGAAGAACCTAATTAGGTGATTTGAGTAGTGTTAGATAACCAGAAATTAGTTGTCTTGGGGGAAAAGCTAGAATAAGTAGTCAAGGGGATTAGTTAAAGACCACTTTGAGGTCGCATACAAGCAACACAAAATACACATTTTTCCTAGGTAGTTTTGTTGGCTTTTGGCACCATCGATTATCTTCATAGGCTAAGCTTTCGCAGCTTGTTTTATGGGGCATAAAGAAAGCGCTTCCCAATGCTTCACAAATACATGGGTCGCCGACTAGTGAAAACTTCAGCGATATCCTGCGATAAATAAAACGTCAGCATTCACCTCCCGTCATGTGCCATGTTGCGGTTCTGAGTATCAGACGATGGCTTTACAGTAAAGTCAAATTGTAGTGGGAAAATATCTTAATCTGAACAAAAAGCAGTACATTTGGTGATAGTATGAAAAATGGTGTCACATTTCATTTCGAATAATCAACGGGCTCTTAAAAAGTTTGCAGTTTGTCAAAACAACTAGGAATAGATCGCATACCTTAAGATCACTCATTCCACATGCCACCTTCCGTTCTATCCCCTGACAGAGTTGGCGATTTTTTACTGCTAATTTTAAAAGATGCCTGCAATATTTGAATACGCCTAGTACCTACACAAAGGCACACCTAGGGACAATTTTCCAGATGTCCGAAGCGGACTCCCTTTACCATAAACCGTTGATTTTTTCCATGTCTTGATAAACTTAATCTTTGCCTTTAGGGAGATTTAAAATCCAGGGCATGACTCCACTCACAAAAATAATACTTTTTGAATAAATGTCTCATTCGATTTGTTATAGTCCACCTCATCAATATGTGCCGAACCCCCAAAAAATTAAGGCAAATTCTTAACCCCTGGATGAATTTCGTCCCAAATCCAATTATGACGACGCGTTTGTTGGTACAAATATAAACAAACCACCTGTCTATGGTAAAATATTTCGATCTCATTAGGTATATAGGTGTTATGAGTAGAATTTTACATAAGTGGTTAACGTACGAAAAGCAACTTAATTATTGGGACGCGTGATTCAAAGATGTCAAGACACATACTACAGATTTTGGTAGGGTAATTGCAGTTATACAACATGCAAATCATGACGTTTTTAGACGTCAACCGGTTTCAACTTTATAGCACTATTTGCACATCCTTCAAGTAAAAAAACGGACGCCATAAAATACAGTGACAAACGATTATTTGTACTTAGCTCACTTATAGTACCCGGCAAATACACCCAAATATCGGGAGGAGGCAGACCATATTTTAATACTAACTTTCAAGGCGCTTGCGGTTCAGCAAACCACCATGAGTTGAAGCGTTCGTGAGTAAAAGCACAAAGAACTGGAACCAACCTTGTGCTGAAGAAAATCATCTGCCTCAATATCAGTCTTCACAGAATCGCCTTCGACAAGGCACCCAATGTTGGAACGTGAGGTACTTCCCTTGAGCATAAGTTCCAGTGCCCACATCAACCAAAATGGCATGTGCTGAGTCTCTACACAGCTCTCGGCCACCACATCAGCCCTTCCTAGCCAAAGTAAGAGGCTTAAGTAGGCGTCCAACCGAGATTGTCTATTTGCCCCACTACTAGTTGCAGAAAAATGCCGCAAAGCCTCATTTTCAACGAACTGAATCAGTCGTCTTCTTCCTTCACCACATGAACTGGCGTGCAGGAGATCAAATTCAGGCATGATCCGGTCTACGGGAATGGATATGCCCTTAATAAAGGAGACAAAATCTATGACTATGGAGAAGCGAGATTGTATCCGGATCGGAGGCGCATTTGTAAGTACGGGGATCGAGCAACTGGTGGCACTTGGGGTGGTGAAGAGGCTTGGGAGAAGAGATAGCTTTTTCGATGAAGAGGCGTCAAACCTATTTTGCTTTTCCGAAATGGTTAAAATTGGTTCTTGTGGTTTTTCATCAAATACCACTTGCACTTCGTCGAGCTCATTAGTTGGAATTAATGGCCCGGGCTGGCGATGCTTGCGGGAAGAAGGTGGAGCTTTAGCATCCTGAGCGCTAGGATGCCACCCAACAAGATACCCGAATTCCTCGCCCGTAAAGACAAAATCTGGGAGGTTAGAAGACCAGGCACAGGCAAATATACGGGAAAAGTGGTTCCGGTAGCTGGCAATCGGAGCTGAAGTACCCAATCCTACTCGCCAAACAGTAGCAGTGCAATCAAATGACCCTGAAAGTACCAGGTCGTGATCATGTGGAGACCAATCAAGTCCGGTGATACGGTTACCATGGCCCTCCAGCGTTGCCAGGCAATTAGTCAGTTGAGTGGGAGTCTCCATAGGGGATTCCTGCATTGCACTGTCTGTCGCGTCGATAATGGTTATAAATGGATGATTGGACCCGACAGCCAGTAGATACTTATCAGGATGGCGTGACCAAGCCATAGAATTAATGCACTTTTTGTGGATAAAAACACGAGAAAGAGGTATAATCGATTCCTTTCTTCGAGAAAGACCAAAGAGATTAACTGCTCCATTGACACTACCCAAACCGATTAACCAGGAGTACGTAGATTCCTCACCAAGCTGACGGAAAGCAATATCAGCCAACTTCACGTCAGATGAATGAGTCAATAGTGTAGTAAACATTGATCCAAGATTTACGAGTGGCTTATTTGACGAGAGTAATAAAAAGACGGAACCCTTGCAAATGGCGTAGACAAACAGACGTGAAGAATCTTCGGTTACAATTTCTTCACCCTCCTCTTTTGAAGCATTAAACAAGCGCGGACCCCAAACGACACGGTAGACACAACCCTCCAACAGGTTAAAAGTTCGTCCACGTTTTTGTGGTCTGGTAACATCAACTACATCCACATGTCCTTTGCTGCTACCGATCGCTAAGAGATTCTCAAATTGGGGGTCTGGATGCCATGCCAACGCTGTTATGCCAATAGCGTTTCCAGATGGTGGAAGGGGTGACAATCGGGTCATTGAAATCGGAGAATTCGGTGCAGGTGGTGCCACATTCCTAAGAAGCAAGACACAACCCTCCGAGAGCCCCACAGCAAGGGGACTACAGGCACCAAATCCCTGGCTTATCGAGGAAATTTTTGAGGACATACACACATGACTCGCGACAGGCCGCAGAGTGTGCCAGTCATTGTGTTCGCACTTCCAGACAATGATTTGTGAATCCATACCAAAAGATACAAAGAGTTTTGGCGACTGGGGGACTGCAAGTAGAGAAAAAACAACACTGGAATGGTGTTGCGAACTGGAAGGAGATTCACATAGCTTCGGTTTCTCAATGCTATTAATGGTATAGAAGCCTCCTTTAGGATCAAATGCGAGTAAACGGGGAGTTGACGGAGGAGAACTAGACGATTCGCCGGTGGCAGCCAGAGAGATCCAGGCTTTACATTGTACAGTTGATTCCTGTGGATTCCCGCTTCCTTTTTGGTGGAATCGAAAGCGGTTGGTGTATTTACATTTGGCATCAGTCATTGACCAAACCTGAGGAAATATGTAAGTACATGGGCACAAGTAATAAACATTAATACAACATATCATGTGAGATGCCTAAAACACAATAGTGTTAGACGGGAGGACTAATGTGACTACCATTATTCTAATCTGATCTCAAATCCACTTGTAATTTTAACAAAGACCACATGTTCCCCATATATAAAAATATATGGGCAATATACAACCTCTGCAGAAGGCTCGAACAGATATAAGGAATAACTATTCCAGACAGAGTTTATTCTAGGGCTATAGGTAAGTTAAGAATGCACTCTAGTGTCCATGAGGTTCCATTTAAAGTTTTATGCAAATAATCACATGCGAGGAACTTCATCGTTCAAAAGACCACGACATTTATGGTTTACGCTTTCAAAATTTTAACCAACAGGTAACTCTAAGGTAAGTGTTTGAACACGAGTCCTGGGGATTCGAAAAAAAAAGGTTTTGTGATATATTAGGGGAGTTAACGAATTGGGAGTTACCTTGACGTAGGAGTCACGTCCGGACGTTGCCAAGTAGCAAATACCATCTTCAAAAAATTGGACTGGAACAAGACTACAGATGTCGAAGTCGTGAGCATGTATGCGAAACAGCACATTCAAGGATGCATCACTTGATATGTCAGAGCAACCATAAGAAAAAGAGCAAACATCACCGCTTTTAAAACCGACAACACCAAGAAGAATTGTAGAGTCACAGTCGGGAGGCATCCAGGTGCAACTAGTGGACACATCTTTTTCCAGCTTTTTAACAAGCAGCGACGAGCCTACGTGCCGATTCGTTGGTTCCCAAACGACAACATGACCAGTGAGACTGGCAGCCAGGACACATAACCGTCCTGAAAAGTTACATGCAGCACAAGTGTTTGGAATCACATCCTGTCGCAGACACGTTTGCTTCCCCATTTCGTATGTATTGGAGTTAAAGGACCAAAGCCTTATAAAACGATCATTCCCACATGTTATGAAAACCCTGTCGACGGGGGACTTATGGAAGGATACAGGAAAGGCCACTGAATTGATATTATCCTCATGTGCTTTGAACTGACTGCGAAACGAAATAAAAAAGCCCTCCCCGGCATCCGAAGTTCTGAAACACAACGAGTAAATGCTTAGCATTTCGTAACTCATGAACGCGATATCACAACTTCCGTCATCGGACCATGGTGAACAAGCAGCGGGCAATGACCGAAACCATGTGAGCCCACGGGGAAGCACAACAGCAGCTTTTGAAGCAGGTGCGTCGTGGGAAGGAATTGCAATTTCCGAAGACATCTCGCGCGCACGATTACCGAATCAGAAATAGTCGCATCCATATTTGGTCACGCCAAGGTTGCAACCAATACACGACCTATGAGTGGTCTTGTGGCCTATGACGAAGATCACTAGCCAACCAGAGATAAGAATGAAGTCCAGGCACCCAAAAAAGAAAGCATTGTCATTATAGAAGATTCGAATGGACCGTTCATGATATGTAATCTTGGTTTGAGATATATTAAAAAAGCCCTTTTTTGTTGAACCTTTTTCATGATACCAGGACGCAATCGATTGGCACACCAGATAAAAGAAACTTCAAACGAAGGAATGCTCTGATATTCAAAAACATAAATAACCGTACGCTTATTTTATTTCAGCGAATGATGTGTCAAATTTTAAAAAAAATTACTAGCATTGGCCAACAATTTTTTTAGTATTTGAAATATATCAAAATTGTTTTTTGCTTTTAAGTGGACAAAAATTTTCATCAGTCCTATAAAGAAATCTGTTTGGCTATTGCTTACATATTTCAAAAAGTGTCAAAATGAAAAATTGGCAAATCATGGCAAACGTTTTTTTTATTTTGGTAAAGGAGATAAAGCCTATTTTGTGTGCAATAACTTCCTACTTTTACTTTATTAGAAGCCTACTTTAAATACATTAGTAATAGCACTTATTACTGCAAAATAAATGATATCAATGGCTTAATATAACATATTTTAGGATTATGTGGAGCTATTAAACTTATTTGAATAACGCAATGTGGCCAAAATCATCCCTGTGCGGGATCTACCGTTGTCACCCTCTGATGAATTAACTTCTCAGGGTGTTATTGTCGTAATGGTGATGTTGATGTTAACCATACCTTTCCATATTTTCCACCGGCAAACCACGTGCAGCGGATATTAATGTAATGTTTAAATTTAGAGCTCGTGCACAGAAGCTAGCCAGATTTTTAACTATCAGACCATGTTTTTATCGAGAACTACCACTTTATCATCTAGGCTAAAAAATTTCTTATTGAAATCATGTAACATCTGCCAATTCGATTACCAATGATTAAATGACAGATGAAGTTTATTCTTTGATCCTAAGTTTTTTTTTAAAAAAATATGATTTGTGGCTTGTGCAACTTGATTTCACTTTGCTAAACATGATATACTTAAATGATGGGCGATCATTCAGGTCAGATTTTTCATGTTGTCCTCTCACCGTTTTCATTATTGTTTGGTTTAATGGGTGTCGATACAAAACAACTTTTCAAATTTTCTTTAATCGACAATATATATGATTAAGCACTCATTGACCTTGAGACCCGAAATATTTTGATGTGTCGGTGCAATTTATGTGTTAGTTTCGGTTTCTGAGTGCATATCCCAGTTTTTTTTGAATATGAATATTTTAAGTCCAATAGTAAAGTTATTCATTTCTTGGTTATCCAATCCTCTGTGACTCGAATTGCAAATAACTCTAAAATCTCCTTGATTCACTTTTATATTCTCATTAGTCAAAAAGGCCGTCAAGAGGGCTTAATAGCGGTGGGAAGATACTTGCACGCACCAAACCGACGAAATAATTAAAGGTGTGGTTGTAAGGGGCGGCGCAAAAGTATAAGTAGGACGAGGTAATGCTAATAACATTTACTAATAATAAAAATATAAAGCATGAGCGGCGGAACTTTTCCCCAACCGTGTAATTTATTAAAATTAAATTCGTAATGGTCAGACACATGTTTTGATGCCATCGTTCTGCCAAATACAAATGTACTATCTGTTAATAGTTTTAACTTGCTGCTTTAGAATCGATCCTGACTTTAGCTCTCTTTTAATTTTGCAGCTTATTTGCAACTATCAACTTTGTGGCCGTTTTAGTACTATCCATTACCAGAAGTAACGTTCAGGATGGCCAATTCCTTCTGGAAATATGGGGTCCATGTTTTGTTGGTCAGGGTTCTTCATTTATGCAGTAATTGTTACCACTCTCTACGAATGTCAACAGGTATTAGGCCTCTTTTCTTTGGCTGTGGGTTCTTGACCAACATCTCTTGAACCAACTTCTCTTTTTATCACACACACAACGCCAAAGTCACTTTTCATGTTTTTTTCCTAAAGTTCTTGAAAAATTTTAATATCTGGTAATGCACCAGAAGATCGCAATCATCATTACATTAAGTTTGCTAGTAATTTCCACAGTCACAAATAAACTGACGCAACCCACTTATATCTAGATCGTAAATTTTGTGTGTTAAGTCCTCTGAATTGAGCAGGGCTACTTTAGCAGACCTCTTACTAAAAGCTGACGTTCCTGTACTGTAACTATTTAAAATAAATGATACTAAAGAAGTGTCAGGTGATAGAGTGTTTTTTTTAATTGTCGCGCGATTCTGGCATAGGGAACTCATGCTGGTTCAGGCTTTGAGAATTATTTGAAAGGAATACATGAATAGGAGCTGTTAACGGTGACTGACACTAACGACAATGGGAATAGGAAGTAAAACCCCCACTACTCTCAACATCATTGAATTTGGTTTGTCTTTGCAATCTCGCTTTGGTACTGTGGACTTAAGACTCACAAGTCTGCTATTCACAACTTCAATCATGCAGTTTTAAGGCAGACACTCTGGAGATTATTCAATTAATTCGTGAAAATTTTTAATTTTAATTACTAACTATTTAGATTGCCAATCAACATTTTCCGACATCAATGAACGACCTGAGGCTACTACTTGAGAAAAGTACTGGCTGAAATGAAATTTGATAATATTGTGAGGGTAGCTAGCTAAGGCTGAATTTTCCATCGTTCGCTTTTCGAAATTAAGCCGAAGAGATTGGATAGGCCCAAGCATGAAATCTTGAAACACACCGGAGTCACTGAGTTGGACCTGGTCCGGTTATGCCACCCTGCTACCTGCGGTGAATGAGAAGATCGGAGGAGACGTGGACACAACCCTGTACTCCAGAGCTCAGCCACGTTGGTGTCGTTGTGTCGTGGGTGGCGTTTGCGCGCGCGTATTTGTAGCTCAGGTTTTTGATGCAGCGTGAGTCATAAAGGTGCTGACATCACTATCTTAGGGTTGCAATTATACAGGATATTGAGGGATGAGTTGAGGTTCCACATAAATGGCGACATGCTGTGAAAAGTGGGGCCTTGTGTCGGAGGTTGAAGTGCAAACATAAAAATTTTAAATGGAACTGCGATGTTAGGTAGGTGATTTTGGCATTTCTGCCTTCAAACCACCTTTCTATAGGCAGATAAAAAATCGCCCTACTGCATAAATGTGAAGGGAAAATGGGTCATTAACTTAGAATTCTCTCTTTCGACGGCATCTCTGCAACTCGACAATGAATAACAGAAAAGGCATAATAAGATGTCCTCGTCCCCACTGAGAGGCTGAACCTAATTGTGTAAAACAATGATTTTACCTTGAAGCCACCGAAACTTGCGATTTGAGCATCTTAAACATTAATTTTGGTTGAAACATGGCAAAAAACGCCATTCAAATGTTTTGAACAGTATTTCTTGCCTTTTAAAACAAGTTTCGTTTTTTAGCCAGGAAAGTTTAAAAATTTGGGGCTGTGTAGTCGCCCAAAGCATAATTAACTTCTTTAAATTCTGCCAAAAAATATGGCAGCGCTATTCGAAGTTGACTTGAAATTCACACATAGTAGACGGGCCAAACCATGGCTCACCATGCCACGACTTAGAAATGCCGGGTCCCTGTCCACTGAGCAGAAACACAAATTTAGCTTGCGCATTGCAATATTACATAAACATCATGATTAGCGTTAAAAAATGGACTAACAATTCATTTAAAACACAATGTTGCCACTTTTGGTCAAATTCTAAGACATTTTTGCTTTTTCCTGCCTGTGTGAGTTATCCCACTACGTCAGTGACCGGTGTACTTGAAATAAATATACTTCCCCTTAAAGGGAAGTTGTCAGTAACGACGTTTGCTTTATTACGTCACTTTTGTCAACTTAGTCCTTTCCCAGGTGGTGTAAATTGCACAATAAAAAATACTTAACTTTGAGCTTAATGTCTCAGTTTGATTCTTCTGGTGTGCGTGGTCTTGGGTTTGACTTTCATCAAGCAGATTTTGCCGTACTTCGACATCATTGTGGGAAACTGGATATTCACAAATGTGTTAATCTACGTAGAAAAACAGTGGCATTGCTATGACCGGGTATTTTGTCAAATGGAAATTTCAAGACAATAATTTCCTTTTCAAAACAGATTCGATTATATAGTTTGTTGTTGATAAAATCTGGAACTGCTTCCAAGTATTTCATCAGAAAACGGTGCTGGCAACTGCCACGTCTATGTGAGGCGTATTCTTTATCGTTCACAGATGCTTTTACCAGACTTGGGCGAAGGTGAATTCACTTCACTTATCGACGTTCGTTTGGAGCTTGAATGTCAAGTGTTCCTATTCAAACTGACTTCCTTTCACAGTGAAGGACAACACTCTATGGGAGCAGTAAACCTGTTGAGCCCGACGTTGTTTACGAACTTCTGCTCAGGTCGCGGTGAGGTTTGAGAACCACACCGGGGTTTAAATAACTGAAATCAACTTATAACGTACACGGCACATTAATCACAAACAGGGGACCCCGAATTTATTTTCGAAAATGGACTTCATCTGTCCGGGTAAACGCCTGTCACACCTTAAAACTACTTCCAGACGTACATCGTTGTTTATCTCCAGCCATATTAATTAATCAGACCATTAAATCGTTTCCTATCAAGATTTTTCGTAATGTCCTTCATCTGTTGTGGTGGTTTCGACTCACCAAACCAACAAATTTTGCACCTGCCTCTGCACTGCCCATCCATTAGTAAAGTATAAATTGCAAAACGCGACCCTTTATCTTGTGACCTGGTCGTTAATCCCTTGGTGTGAGGCCAACACTCTTTCGACTCTATAACAGTCACAAAGCAGGTATATAATAAAAGGACTTTCGCATATGTGCCGTTGTTGTAACTTCCAATCATCAGTTTGCAAAAAATGTTTACCAGACATTCTCATTATAATGGTATACAATTTTTTGCACAAAATTCAAATTGGATTTGAAAATACTAAAGGCACAAATCAAACTCGTATCAGCACCACAATCCTCCGCCTAAAATCCCTCCCAATTAGCTTTCCAGGACGATCAATGCTAAGTATTTTGATTGGACCCTCGCATATCAGCCATTCAATTGGTTTACACGACTTGTACTGCTGGCTGATTGGCCAGACGTGTTAAAAACGTGTATTTTCGATTCTGCCGAGACACAGTTGCACGAAATAGGAAAAGGCAAATTCGTCTATGTATTTACGTCCGCAATCTCTCCAAAATTTGAGCTCTCGAAATATGTACAATGACCCCCGCCAAGTTCTCCTCCCAGTGGATAAGGGCGAATCTAGTAAACGCGCAATGACGTGGTATATGGTAAATCTTTTTCGTTCAACAGACGTGATCCATATTCTCCACATTTGCGAGCCAAGTTACGCCGCAAATAACTTCGCCCTCACAACTCTGGGACAGAGCAAGACAAACGAAATTAATGCAATGCTGCAAGAACATATCGAACTTTCGAGCACTCTGAGTCATGATTTCCTCTCCAGGCTGGATGATAAGGGCGTCACCGGGGATTTTACACTGACGGTCGGCACAAAACCCGGCGAAGTGATTGTTAACCAGGCCAGGGAGTTGAATATTGATCTTATTGTCATGGGCAGCCGTGGTGTCAGTACTCTCAAGAGGACCGTTTTTGGCAGCGTCAGTGACTACGTGCTGCACCACGCCTGTGTCCCTCTCACAGTTGTTCCCCCTCCGAGGAGTGAGAAGGATTTCCGACGAGCTTCACTGAAGCCTATGTAAAAGGATAGTGGAATTTTTCGCTCCTACCTATACCAAACACTTCTTAATCTCTCTCTCCTTCTGATCCCATGGCAGTTATCCTTCCAACAACACAAACTACGTAACATGAGCCCTTGCTTTAAAAATATGCTTGGAACGAAGGTGCTATGTGGAACAAGTGTCCAAATTTAATCACTCGTTTTATCTCATATCCGTCTCACTTTACCCATGGACAGATTTCCTGTGCTATATTTATGCATTTTTAGAGAACACGTGTCACAAGCTGTGCTTGTTGAAAGAGCGCTTTAATTCTGGTGAGCTTCGTAAGGTCAAGTCCATTTACCTTAAACTGAAATTTGAGAACTTATCAAGGGAATAGACTTGTGTCCGCAGACATTCAATGTAATTTTTTCAAAAAATTATGTCAAATTTAAGATTACAACGCTTGAGGTAGGTTGTCAGAGTAGTTTAAACAAATAGAACATCTTGAAAGCATCTTTAGTAGAAAATCCAATTCGTGTCCTCACTTGTTAACTAACAGATTCATGTGTTCTTTATGCAGCCTACTATTTAATTAGGCCTCTTTATGGTTACAAACTTCAAAGAGGTGCGTAGATCTTCTTTTCTTAGTGTACCGGTATATGTTATGACAAAAATTCGTCGGTTCGTAGTAGCAAAGATCCGAGGGAATAGAATAGGAAAACTCGCAGGCTGACTCCTAGACTTCTGTCACTTTTGAAGACGCCTACCTCTTACTTGTCGTAGTTTCAATAGAAAGATGGTAAATAGTTAAGGCAAGGCTCGGTGAGCATGGAGGACGTTTCAAAAGTACAAAGTGCAAACAAATCAAAGTTCACAATTTTGCATTGTGCGACTTTACTCGCCTGGTCTGTCATTGTCAGGCCAGTAGTTGACCGCGCCTTACCTGACAAGTGCTTGATGTTATTCGACAGAAGTATACCCACCATGACTCCAAGTAGCACCTGCGTACCCAGTTTTTATGTTACTCCCCAGGCTGCTGAAGCGTGTCTGTCTGCTAACGCTGAGTCCGGCGTTTTGATTCCTGATCCATTTTTGTATGTTGTGGAAATTTTTTTTCGGTTAAGGACCTTTCTGAGGCTGTGAGAGCTAAGTAGAAGTTAGGGCTGTTATGGAAATCGCATTTCGTTCACCAACTTTGTGAGGAACCCAAAGTTGTGACAATTGGTGCCTGACCTGCCGTTTTCTTTTTGGATGTGACAATTGACGGAATACCAAGTGCCTCCGTTGAAAGCCGTAAAATTAAATAGGCTCTGGTTCGTCTGACAAATACAAATTTTCGAACGGACTTCTTATAAATTGCTTTCTGATTGTCCAACCTCGTCTAGGGTCATATCGATGCTGTGTGTAAATTCTTGTGTAGTTTAACCAATTGTGTAAGTTCCTCAAAATTAATTAAGGTATTATTCTTTGCCTTATCCAATTTTGGTCAAATATACTTGAGCTTTGATAGTAATCGGAAGTTTTTCATTGGTACCATGAAATCGTGTTCATTCCGAAATTTTATCTTACAAATTCAAAATTTAACTTTCTGTGGATAAAAGAGGATGACATACGGTTTACTTATATGGGATTTGTCGTCAACTTAAA